ATATTTTAAGGGAGCATTCAAGGTGAAGTGGACCATTAACACCTCTCCAGTGTGGGCGGAAAGAAGGGGGAGTTAAGGATGCTATTAAAGTAGTTTTAGTATTTCAAATCAGAAAATGAGGTTGTGTCTGAGATTTTTTTCCCCCCATTCAGGTACAATTGTAGTTAAGTGAATTGTTTCTTCAACAGAATGGAAGAAGGCTGAGGTTGTTTGACTGCAGATATAAAGGAGAGTCTCTGTTATAGTCTATATCATATTGAATTTTGGGATTCATGTTTAAGCTCTCCATGCTGTAACAATAGTTTATTATTAATAAAAGTATTATTAATATGATTTGTATTACAGTTGCTTCTACGGGCCCCAACTGCGATTTTACATATTTGTATTTATTTTATATAAGTTGCCCATCGTAGTCGCATCTAGGTTCATCAAATCCTTAAGATCAAGCATTTATAATTAAGAGTATTCTCTAACATCAAATATACTGCTACTGTCTGGATTTAATAGGGACATCCATCTGTCAGTGATCACTTCATAATTGCTATGTAATTATTTTTCCAAAAGCCTGGTTAATTAAATAGGCCTATCTCTGTGCCCAAAAGGCCACCAGACTCTAGCTCTGGTGAGCTGCCAGAGAAAGAGCAAATTCTCCAGGCAAAGAGCCTCTCGGAGAATGACTTGTTTCCAATCCTAGAGAGTTTTATCCCAGGAACTGTCAGTAGTAGTACCACAGTCAAAGGAGCTATGCCAGTTTACACCAGCTGTGGATCTGGCCCAATGAGTTTATATTAAATGACACCATGCATTTATACTGAAGCAACACTTCTAGTTACTGAAGGTAGATTGGGAATATGCTGCTAGAATTATTGTTCTGATGCAGAGTTCAATAAAAGGACTGAATGTGCTTCTTTATAGTATTGGTATGATTCCAAAATTATTTAGAATTACATTTATTTTAAACCTGAAGTTTTTTGAAAACTATTTGATACAGATCATCTGTCACTTTAGATCTGTCACTAAAATGTTTTCACAAAAGCAGAAGCTAGTGATCCTCCAGTTTTGGAGACTGACTAGTTAAGTCTAGAGCAACCAAACAAAAAAACGTGTGATGAAAATTAAAGTTAGGGTATTTTCTTTGAAACAGACTTGTACAAAAGATGTTATGGATGACTGAAGCTGTAAAGAAGTATTAAACATTAAGAAAAGTTCAATGCTTTAAAAAGAATTCTACACTTGCTGACTTACCACACTACAATAAATATTAGTTTTGGTTTATATACATTTGCAGGATATTGTTCCTATGAGTCAGAAGAAACTTAGTCTAAAACATAAAAAGTGCAAGACTATATTAGATTTTTTCTAATTGTTCCTCAATTATTGTAGCCATATCTTCTGGTAGTCAGAGGTTTCGAATCACCCCAAGCATGGGGTTACATCCTAGTCATTGATGGATCTATGAACTTGTCCAGCATTTTTTAACCCAGTTATACTTTTGGCCATCACAACATAACCTGTGGAACTCATTGCCATGGGAATTGTGCATTGTGTAAAAAAGTATTTCCTCTTGTTTGTATTAAATCTGCTACCTATTAATTTGATTGGGTGACCCTTGGTTTTTGTATTGTGTGATGTATAAATAATGCTTCTCTATTCACTTTTTCTATACCATTTATGAATTTATAGAGCTCTTTCATAGCCCCCATAGTTGTCTCTTTTCTAAACTGAACAGCCCTTATCTTTTAGTCTCTCCTCACATGGAAGCCATTCTATTCCCTCGATCACTTTTTTTACCCTTGTCTGAACCTTTTCCAGTTCCACTGTATTCTTTTTGAGATGGGGCGACTGGAACTGGACACAGTATTCGAGGTGTGGGCACAGCATGGATTTATATTGCACTCTCCATCTTCAAAACTCTTTAAAAACATTAACTAATATTCATTCCATCCTTGTGTAATAGGTGAGTATGTTGTGATCCCCATTTTGCACAGGCAGAAACTTTGGCAAAGGGGTTAAGTGATTTCTTCTAAAATTACAAAGAGAACTGAATGTACCAAATTTTAGACCTCATGAATTCCTGGCTCCCATTAGTCCCAGACTAGGCAGCTGGCAGCAGACATTAGATTGGTGACACTGTCTCTGTTCCACATAATAGTGCTAGAGTCCTGAAAAAAGAAATGCTGGAACTCACTTATAAGTGAGAGAACCAGAAGTACTAGAACAGCCTTTTGGCTCCCTCAAACAGTGCCAACTCTCCAAAAAAGTGCCAAAATGGTGTTCCCGGACAATCCAACACAACTCGGTCCCTGCTCCTTCCTAGATGTCCCCAGCCTGTCTTCGGGGTTCTAGACCCCTTGTTTCCTACCCCACACAAACCAGCAGCAGCAATTGCTTTTCAAGGCTTCAGATCCCCTCACGACTACCCTCCCTCCCACCATCCAGCAGCAGTTTTTGAGGATTCTGGGTTATTATTTCATCCATTCCACCTTTGCAACTCTGACAGCAGCTTCTCTCTGGGACTGCAGGTTCACTGTATCCTTTCCGTCTGCAACTAGCCCCCAACCTATTTTCCTGCAGTCAGCAATGGCTTCCCTTTGGAGCTGTAGACAATGTTTTCACCCCTCAGCTCATAGAGAGCCAGTATTATATCTCTTTCCCCACAACGGACAGCAACTTATCTCTCCAGCTTCTGGCTCCCTCTTTCCTTTCCTCTCCCACCCCTCCCCCCAGCTGCTAGAGTGGTTCTTCTTCCAGGCTACGGGCGGTTGACTGCTGCCCTCAGTTCCAAGCTCCAGCAGCCACTAAGCTGTGCAGGCTTCTCTTCAGGGTTCTGGAATGTGGTAGGGTGGATGACAAGCAGGGGGTTGAGAGGTACTTACTCCCGGGTTTTGTACAAGGATGAGACCTATCAGGCTGGGGCATTCACTTGCCTTCCAGCTACCTGGCTCAGCACCATACCAGCTTGGAAGCAGTCTTGTTTATCATGCAGCCCACATGCCTACTCCAATTGCCAAGCCCCACATAAAAAAAAGGAGCATAGTGGAGAGAAGATGGGATGGGTTTGTTTTGTGGAGGAGGTGGGTAGGGAGCAAAGGAATGTTTTTTTGTGGGGAGGGGAGAAGACCAAAAATGGAAGTTGAGGAGAGAAAAGGAAGGATTGATTGATGGATTGATGGATGGATGTCAGGAGGTGAGAAGGAATAGATTTGATTTGTGGGAAGAGAAGGAATGGATTTGGATGGACACATGCATGTAGAGCGTGTTTGTCAAATAACTTTGTCTGGTAGAATTGTATGGGCTGCCTGAGCCCACAGGCTCCCAGCATGGTGCTCATACAATCAGTCACAGGTCTCTCATTTTGGCCTAAAAAGCCTCTGGGATAATATGTAGAAAAACTCAGTTTTGCCAACTCTCGTGATTTTATTGTAAGTCCTGTGCCATTTTGGTGCTGTTCTTAAAGCCCCGGGTCCCAGGATACTGTGATTACCTGAGTACCTCAGCTTTTATCTGGAAAAAAACCAAAACATTAATATTGAGCCCTTATGGTTGTGGAGAAAAGCTTGAAAATGGGACCTAAGTGTACCCTGGCAAACCAGAAGGCAAACAAAATGTGCTTAACATTTATAATTTTTTTTAAATCTCAGCACTTTTAAACCAATCTCATGATTTTGGGGTGGCTTGGCTCACTTTTGAATGTGTTTTGCGAAACTGTTCAGTTAGACCTGCCTGTTGGCTTTGTTCCATGAAATCCACAGCCCACTGAAACCTCCCACTTCCCCTCAGAACCACCTGCTTCTCCTCTAGATGAAGCTTGTTGGATGAATAAATGTCACCAGCTTTTCTTCTGTCCCTCAGCCCTTTTCATGGCTGCTCTCACGTGGGGAAGAAAAGAGACAGCTCTCTTCCACAGAAAGGTGCTGCGAGAAAGGGGAAGGGCTGGCAAGATTCAGTCAGCACTATTAGAGTTGAGAGTCGAGGTGAGCAGGTGTCCATGTAAGAGACGTCTGTGAATCAGTTTCACTGCATGCAGATCTCCCCAGGAGTGCTCTTTCTTCTTACACCTTCTAAGCAGCCAGCTCAGGAAGCTTGTGTTGCTGCATCTCAAATTCTTTCCCTGCAAGGCAGATGTCTTTGGGCAGTGACAGGGAAGCAAGTGCTTACCCCTTCGCTTTTACCCCATTTTTATGCTGCTGCTGTTTGAAGCAGTAGCCATGTGTCTTTCAGCATGGCAAGGAGGGGAGTGGCACGTGTCGAGAAGGAAAGTAGATGGCTCGGCGAGAGATGTAACTATGATTTAAAATTTAAGATAAAGGGGAATATGGAACAAATTGGTATCTAACTCATTCTGATGCTCATATTTTATTAAGTGAGATGCCAGCCAAGTTTCAGCCGTAAAGACAGGTTGTAAGGCCTGATTCTTGGATTTCTTGGTATGGGAATTTAAACATGATTCTTTCATTAGTAAAAATGAAAAATAGACATTTAAAAACATTCTTGCTATTCCTCTAAGATTCTCTGTATTCTGCGTAGATGAATGATATTGCTAGTTATTGTTAAATTATTTTGTGTCAAATCATGTGGCTCTTGAATCTCATGCTTGAAGGAGACAGAAAAGAGACAATAGAAATATAATGAATGTTTACGCAAAGCAAAAGAAGTATCTCTCAAGTGTAGCCTGCTTTATCTAATATGGATTTGTAGATTATACCAGAATCTATCAGAAACCCTGAGTTTTAGGATATCCAAGTAGACTGTAAGAGTTGGTCACACATTGGATACCTGGCCTGGCTGGTAGGAAGAGTGTTTATTTTTATTTAATCTTCGGTAAATAAAAAGATGGGCTCATGAAAGAAGCTGCCACAAATATTTATTTTGTCACATTTTATGCACAGTTGTTTGCAGGCATATCAGAATGTATTTTGCTATGTTTTGTTTAAATTTATTTTAATCCAATTTCATTGTTTGTCTAAGGTATATAATTCAGTTGCATTTTTTTTAAACAGATGTGGGAAGAGGCCATTGCCTTGGGCAAAGAACTGGCAGAACAGTATGAAAATGAAATGTTTGATTATGAACAACTCAGTGAACTGCTGGTAGGTTTCTTTTCCATTCAGTTTAAATTAACATCGATATTATCAAACAGTTTCTCTGGAATTTCACTTTTTAAGTTTTTAAAATAATATTGAAAACTCCTCTTACCTTGGTTATACTAGCCCAGTGGGAAGAATGATATACTTGGCCTCTTGGGGCAGATGTTGGCTGGCAGATTAATTAAATGACCATCTTTGGAAGTGACTTAAGTGAAAAATGTTTGTTTTTTATTTTGGAACGAAGATAATCTGTTTACAGTTTACTTGTAGTCAGAAGGAAATATGGGATTTTTTAAAAAAATAGATGGATGTATCTTGGCAAGATGTGTACATGAAAATTTCCTATCATTCCTGGAGCAATTAAAGATAGAGAGAGCTCAGACTTTGATAGAATTATTTTAAAATTTTTAAACTGTATGTAAATACAGTTATTTCAAAGGGCATCTGCATAATAACTTTACCAATAACTGTGGAGCTTGTAGCTTGTTAGTAATAATGAGGTGTACTGAACAGAGTATAGGACTGGAAACCAGGAAATTGAATTTTTTTCATCTCTGTCACTGACCTACTATTTAGCCTTCAGAAAGTCACTTAAAGTGTTGTTTTACTTTCAAAATTGACTAAGGAATGCCAGATATTTTAATTATTACTGGGCACACTAAGGCATGACTTGAAAAGATACTGGGGAAGAGAAGGCAGGCACTGATCCATTACAAAAAGTTGTGAATCACTATTGTTCTAGAGGTATATGTTGATTTTTCCTTAGCACCAGCAATACCTAAATTCTGGATCGTGAATGTGCACTTTCTAATTCAGCTTCTCATCAATCCCATTTTTAAAAAAATCTTTGTAATTTTTAAATAATAATAATTTCTTCTCCTGAAAACTTGCTGGTCTGCGGCAATAACTACAGGAGATACCATTAAGTGTTCCAGACTGTAGCCATGCTCCGAATTCTTGATCTCATTGTGAATCGCAACAAAAGGTCGAGGATTCCTTCTTGGAATCTCATCCATCAGGGAATCCATTTATGTGCAGACCTCAGGAATAGTTCATATCCATAAAGAGACTGACTGTCCAGATGTTACATTCTCTTCCTGGGGAATGCAGTTTCTTGGCTTTGTTGCTTGCCTTGAGATTATATCCTTGGCGTGCTTCTGGGTTCAGATCCATCAGATGTTCCTTCTGTGCATCATATCCAGCAAAGAATAGAGCATGGCCCAAGTGATATGTAGTCCCTTGCATATATAACTTTTTGTAACCATTCCACAGATGATTTTCTCTCATGTGGTGATCCCGCAACTCAACCCTGGTTAAGAGAACTTGCATGTCTGATGTCCACTTAACTGTTCTAACTACACTTGTGAGTCTGTCTGGTTAGAAGATGCATGTGGAGATGGTAGGATGGCTCCAGGGAAATGGCCATATAAAAGTGATAAAGCTCTATTGAAAAGTTCTAGACTCAAGAGCTATATAAAGGACACTTCTACTGCTACTTACATTTATGATGTGTGGAACAGGTCCTAGCAGGAAACCAGTTCTAGTCTAGTCTGACAGTTGAGCAGCAGTTGTCTATGTGAATGTGAAGGGGTTCCACTCACTGCAGGAGTCCCTATTGTGGCTAGGTCTGACAATTAGCTCTCGCCCTGTCTGGCACCCCATTCTGCTGGGTGATTGATCTGTGGCCCCTCTCTCTTTGGGACTTGGGATACTCCGTCTTTGTGACTTGACTCTTGGGCCAGGTAACTATATAGTCCCCTATCACTGAAAGACTGTTTTCAGGTGGTCTTCTGTTCCAATTATCCAGGTCCTGTGCCACTTCCCCTCTGGCTGGTAGGGGAACCTGGGTCCACCAGCTATTCTGGGTTCCATAGCAGGGACCCTATGACTAGCAACCTATTTCTATGATTCTGTATATAGATTCTATCATCCCTTGGCTGGCTAATTACTGTCAATCTTTAAATTGGATCATACAGATGAAACCAGAGAATAATTTTTAAATAATAGCTTAGTATTTATAAGTATTCATATATAAAAGAATTTCATAAAGGGAAACATGCATATAACTTTATCAGGAAAAGTTATTACATAAGATTTTCATCTCCAATTTAAAGCTCAAATACAAATTTTTTTGAAATTACAAAATCATTTGAAACAGTGAGTCAGCTGCAAGTAGTCTGCTGTCTGTCTAGATTTCAAAGAGAGATTTGGACAAATCCTCTTCAGTAGGAGGCATGCTAGATCTCATTCAGTACAAGAGTACCCATAACATGGACTTTGATAGGCTGCATATTTCTGCTCTCCAATCCTTGTAGCTAATGTATCTTTGCCCTCTTCTTGGCAAGGCAGGTTTAGATTTAGCTGGTCTCTCTTGTTTATACCAATCCAACTGTGTATCTCACACTGTCTAAAAGTGATTTTAGTGGTAGCTGACCATCTGTGAAAACTGAGCTAATTCTCCGACCTGTTAAGATTGTTCTGCAATGCTTTGGTGTTGGGAGTCCCAGGTTCAAGTCTTTGCTCCACCACAGACTTACTTATTTTGTTATCTTGTTATCTTGCGCAGGTCACTTAGCCTCTCTCTGCCTCAGTTTCCCCTCTCTACAATGGGGATAAAGCACTTCCTTCCTCACAGCAGTGTGAGGATAAATATACATTAAAAGGTTATGAGGTGCTCAAATACCAAGGTAATGGGGACCACAGAAGTACCTTAGATAGATATATAGAAAGATACAGGTTGCCTAAGTGGGCAGCTAAGGATCCCTCCAGTGGCACGGAGGCAACATACCCAGCCCCACAACCTTGCTGCCCTCAGAGAAGATGGCATGCCTACTGTGCTTCAAGAATTCCCAGACCAGTCCCATGATGGCAGGGTTCACAGGGGAATAAAGGTAACATACAGCCACTTCCCCCGCCCCCCTCCACCTCCCCCCCTGAGCATAGTTTGCTTGTGCACCCAGCACAGCTTGGCAGTCCTGAGGTTTAGATTCCTAATGTTTGTTTAAGGAAGAGATAAGACAATGAAAGTAATGTCCCTACCATCTTCATCTACTGGGAGGCTTTTTAAAGCTGGATCCTGCAGCACCTCTGAATACTTTTTATGTAGAGGCTGTTGTTCAAATGTTAAACATTGGACTTTAGGACATTAGCAAAATGATATTTTTTACTGCCAGTTGCAAAATTCACTTTTCCAAAGATGAACTGAGCTGTACTTGGTAAGTTGATGTCTTACAAACCAATTGCTCTCCGCCATATGATTGCAGTAATAAAGCTACCCCAGATAGAAAATGTTGTAGACTGAAATTATGTTAATAAGTACATATTGTAAAGTTATAAATTCTGTTCTCTTACCTCACATCTCATTCTCATCATTTGAGCTTACCACCGATTTTAAAAGAAATAAGGATCTGAGTTCAAATACAGATCAGTGGAGAAGCCTAATAGTCCGTGGCACATTTGTCTATGTCACAACTTTTCAATTTTATGGATGGCATCTTAAAATAGAGTCCTGTTGACCACCTTCACTCCCATTCACAATTGCATAACATTCCAGTTGCAACTACAGCAATTGTTCACATTGAAGAGTAATGCTAGGAACATATTTATATAATGTTAGCATATTTTAATGCAATTTAGCAGCTGGAAAAAAGGAGGTGAGCCAGTACCTTGAGACCAGCTAGCTCAGCAGCAAGTGCTTCCAGGATTCAACTTTGAAGCCTTTAATCTATATCACTAAGTCCAATATGGAATTTGGTACTTTTGGTCAGGTCTACTCAAGAAATTTCCAGAGGGTAGGACAACAGGGTTGTTGCAAGTCAGAATTCAAGTGCTTTGGAAAATTCCTTTGGGGAAGTATGTATTTATTCTGTCCATATTCTATATCCATTAACACAAAAGTTCACCCTAACCAGCAAGAATATGGAGGATAAATAGTTTGGCATTTTCAGATATCAATAGATAACTGGTCGAAAGATGAATAAAGGCAAAAAACACTTAATAGAGAATGATTTGAACAGAAAAACTCTTACACTGGATTCTCATCTTCAGGTGAAATCTAGAAGGAAACATTCAAGTAAAGTGTTGTTGCTGTTTACTTTACAGAAAAAGCAAGCACAGTTCTATGAAAACATTGTGAAAGTGATAAGACCTAAACCAGATTACTTTGCTGTTGGATACTATGGCCAAGGATTCCCTACATTTCTACGGGTAAATATTCTTTTTTTTTTTTTCTTCCATGAGTTACAGGTAGATCACTTGGTTTGAACAGATTTTCCTTTCATGCTGGAGAGGATTTGTAAATAGGAATCTTTTTGTAGTTATACGAAACAGATGTCAATTTTCTTTTCACTTATGACTTTGTAGAATTGTAGTAAACGGAGCTATTCTTTACAGCACATCCAGTGTTTTATAAATCTTAAGTTTTCATATAATTGGAAATGAACATGTATAACCAGTATGTTTTAAATCTAAATGATTGTCTTGCTTTTGACTGTTCCTTTAATACAGAGTGCAAATAATGATTGTCAGAGAGAACAGGTTTTTACTAGTATAATATTAGAAGGTTGTGAAGGGCCGATAAATTTAATAATTTATTTTTGTCTGAACTATAGTTACAGTTTAAAATATCTAATAAAAGTATTTTCTAATTGTTTGTGATACTGTGATGTTTACTTACATTTTGTCATAGTTCATTTGCAAATTAAAGATATTCTTAACAAAAAATTGGTAGAAGATTTAGGAATAGAAAGTAGCTGCATTGTAATTATTGTATTAAAATATAATACTTAGCTAATTGGGGATTACAGCAGGCAGATATTTCCTATTCTAATTGTTAGAATCATAAATTATGAAAATGGTAAGCTCTCACGAGGGCATGCAATCCTTACACCTGGTAAGTGCAGGATTTGTCTTTACCATATATTTTCTAGTGCTTTGTCTATGTAGTTGTAAATGCTAGTTTTGCTTATTCTGTTCTTGTGAGACATCGGCTGATCTGCAATTCTGAAACTTGACTGCTTCCCCAGAAAATAATTGGATAAACGTTTTATAAAATTCCTTCAAAACAAAACACAGGGAATGGTGAGAATAGCAGTAATCTTCAAAACTAGAATATAGAAGGTACCATAAAGTTGCTGGTAACTTCTCAGAGAGTATTATGTCTGTGATTTACTATTAATCTTGCCACATGTATATTAACATACAACAGAGTGCATATTTCCCATTATGGACAGAGTTATCTGTCAACGATTTAGAGCTGTTAAATACAACTTTGTGGAAATGATTCTACTGGGATCATAAGAGAGGCAGCAAGCTGTCTTGAATATCTGAGTACAATAGCAGTATATTCGCACATTCCAGCATCTCAGCCAGTAATACATTTGCATTCAGGAAATGTGCATAGAATACAACACACAATTTTCCAGTTGAAGCACTGTGTTATCTGTATATTCAAAGGGATATAATGGAAAGTAAGAATAGAGAGTTAACCTAGGTTTACTAATATTGGACTGATCTTTTTCTTCACAATTGAATAATTTTGTGTTATTGTAGTAACATGTTTATTATGCTTCAAAAATTGTCAAGGGTCAGCGTGTCATATCTATATATTAGCAATAAAAACTGTAATGTTTGGCTATTAAATGCATTGCTGACAGAGAAGGTTCTCAGTACAAGATTTTCCCTGTATTTCAGGGGCTTTTTTGAGTTATATGAATGATTCACTTTTAATGTATCTATCTTCATATTTCTGTTCTCAAATAGAGATAAATATTTTTCAGCTCTTGTCAATTTCAAGGAGCAGCATTGCAGAACCAAACTTAATTGACTATTATAGAAATTATTAGCATTATGCTCCACAAATCATTGTTTTTCTATTAGGTTGTTAATAATTTTTTTACAAGTCTTACTTCTGAGATGAATAATAAGATAAAACATTTTCAGATTAGATTGTTACTTTCATATCAAAATTCATTTTAATGTGTCTTGATTGCTGTAGTGCTATAAACGTATGTGCTTCCTATTATACAACATATTTATCTTTAGAATTAAGCGTATTTGTTGAATGCATAACTCAGATTTATGTTACCGGTTTATCTTAATTTTCATCATTCAGTGACACACAGCAATAAGTAGAAATGACCTAGCATTAAAATAATCATATAGAAGCTATTCTTTTCAGATAACTGTAAAATAGTAATAGAAACCTGTTGAGAGAACTAAAATGAAATCCACAGTATCTCAATCTTTTTAGAAAAGCTAAATTAGATATATCGTCTTTGGATGGTATATGAAGTGCTGTGCATTAGAGTTGAGATATAATGTGATAAGATGTCATTTTATAACTACAGACTATATGGAACTGTCCTGCTAGATGTAGCAAGAATCTCTGATACTCCTTGAATACTCATTTAATCAGAATTGTTTTTGTAAATGTGTAGACATAATAGCTAAATTCTGCTCTGATACACCATGCAAACACCATTAACTTCAGAGGATGATTTGTGGGTGCAATAGAGAGGATTATTTGGGCCAATGTTTTTTCAGATATTCAGGAAGGTGGCTTATGCACTTAAAGTTAAGAGGTACTCAAGAGCTATCCTGAATTGAGGCCTTAATTATTTGCCATAGGCCTTATTTAAACACACACTAAAGTTCAATTAACTTCAATAGGATTTAAGCCTGTGCTTGAAGTTCAATATGCGCTTAATGGCTTTACTGAATATGGATTAATTTAAGCTTTATGGATTAATTAATGCTTCAGCGCTGTGCTAAATTTTGACCATAATACCTGTAATTTGTTGTGTGTCATTCTGTTGTAAACTAGATGTTTTATATTTCTACCACTAGTTAGTAGCATTTGAAGCATCCTCCAGATACACTTTCAGAGGACTAGGATATTATTTTATTGTGAATTTACTGTGAATATTACTATATGAATTTCACTTTAATTTGTTTCCAGAACAAAGTGTTCATTTACCGTGGGAAGGAATATGAACGTCGTGAAGACTTTGAAGCAAGGTTATTAACCCAATTTCCAAATGCCGAAAAAATGAAGACAACATCTCCACCAGGCGATGATATTAAAAACTCCCCTGGTCAGTGTATCCTTGGAAATTGCTACATGCATATGCTCATGTAATCTAATCAGACTGAGAATGTGTTATTGTTGCTAAAATTGCACAGTAGTTCACTGCACTTTTTATGTTTTTATTGATATATTACTGTCTTTATGCCAATTTTCAAGAGACATTTCTCAGTTGAACCATCTCTCCTGCATAATTTAAACTCTCTCTTTTCAATTCTTAACCTGTCAATTCAGATATTCAGTGTTTTACTGTAAAACCAAAACTTGATTTACCACCCAAATTTCACAAGCCGGTATCAGAGCAAATTGTAAGGTGAGTTTTCTGTTATTTCTACCTTCTTACCAATCTGACTGAATGGCCTGCAGACAACACTTCAATTAACATAAACCCTTGTAAACTGTAATTCTTCTTCTTTGTTGTTATAGTGTGTGTTTGATTTTAAAAATAAGTTTCTATAAGCAGCCACTGAAGATAACACCGACACACAACGCTTGAGGAGGTGAGCCCAAGCTCATAGCCCAGTGGGGTTCTGATCCATAACTGGGACTGTTAGGCAGTACCACAAACCAAAATATAAATAATAATAAAAGTTACAGTAGAACCTTAGAGTTATGAACACCTCGGGAATAGAGTTTGTTCGTAACTCTGAAATGTTTGTAACTCTGAACAAAATGCTGTGGTTCTTTCAAAAGTTTACAACTGAACATTGACTTAATACAGGTTTGAAGCTTTACTGTACCGAAGAAAAATGCTGCTTTCCCTTTATTTTTTAGTAGTTTATGTTTAACACAGTACTGTACCGTATTTTGTTTTGTTTTGGGTTTTTTTTGCCTCTGGTGCTTCCTTATTGCATACTTCTGGTTCCAAATGAGGTGTTTGGTTGACTGGTCAGTTCGTAACTCTGAGGTTCTACTGCAGTTACTTCACTTCTTTGGGCTGGCTCCATGCCTAAGTAGAGGACTGTGTTAGTTGCGACATCACAGTACAGTGAATGATGTGATACTGTAGCCAAGCAGGAACCAAGCAACCATTATATTCGCAGACATGACAAGAGCTGAAAGGAGAAAAGTAAAGTATGAATTTTAAACAATATCATGCTGAATTTTCCATTTTACCTAGCTACTTATAGTTCTTCAGCCGATATTGATAAAGTTTCCAGGACCTGGCACTTAATCTTTGCAGACTACCTTTAGCCCCTGAGTAGAAAACCCTGGTAGTTACTAAAAACAACGGCACACCTCTGCAGTTGTAAGATAAAAAGGGGATTAGTGGGTTACAGATTGTTGCAATAAGCAATAAATCCAGTGTTTCCATTCAGTCCAGTATTTTTGGTGTCTAAATCCATTCGTTATGGATTTACCGCTTATTACAATATTTTGTAACCCACTCTAACAGATGTGCACTCACCACTCCAGGACCTCCTGCTGACTGTCTTGGGAATTAGTTTTGGGCCCTCTTCGGGTGGTGTCTTGCCGCTGTCACTCCGGCTCTAGGACCCACGTCTCTCCAAGGACCGCAGCGTCCTCCTCAATGACACAGCCCTCTGGCCATGCCACACACTGTGCCCCCCCCTTCTGGGGGACCTGCAGTCTGCTGTTCAGCTACTTCCCTTAATGGCTACTGCAGCAAATGATCAGACCACTTCCTCATGGCTCCAGCATCCTCTTTGCCCTTGCCTCAGGGCCTCAGCCTGCAAACCCCAGCAGCCAGCCAGGAGCTGTCTGTCGCTCCCTCGGTTCCTGCGTGCAGCACTGCTCTGTCCTTGGTGCTGGCAATTCTTTCAGCCCTCCAGAGACGCAGTCCTTCCTCCCTGGGCTCCCAGCAAAGAACTGAACTCTGCCCTGCAACTCCCTTTTTATATGGGCCTGCTTGGCCCTTATTGGCTGCTCCCTTCAGCCCTTGCTGTCCCCAGTGCAGTCTCCCTAGGGCTCCTTTTAACCCCTTTTCTGCCAGTGAGGGGCAGGCACCCCATCACACCCACTAACCTCCTCTTTTTGTCCTATGACTGCAGAAGTGTTAACAGGCCACTCTACCTTGAATGGTCCCTTACATGCTAACTTCTTATAATAAACAGTCTGTTCCACCTTGTATTTTGTTGTGATGCTGGGAGTTCCTTTCCCAGACCTGAAGAAGAGCTCTGTATGGCTCGAAACCTTGTCTCTCTCACCAGCAGACGTTGGTCCAATACAAGATAAGAACATAATGTTCTTATCTTGTATTGGACCAACGTCTGCTGGTCCAATGACCTCACCTACCTTGTCTTGCTAATATCTTGGGACCGACATGGCTACAGCTACACTGCATCCATACATGCCTGCAGGCTCAGAGCCCTGGGGCAAACTGTGACTCTTCTTCCTTATTAACAGAGAGGTTCAGCAGTATTTTATTTAAATGATCTGACGACTAAACATGTTGTTAATACAAAATGTTTGCAGTTATGCGATCTGTTTGTTTTTTTTAATTCAGTTTCTATAGGGTGAATGAGGTCCAACGATTTGAGTATTCACGGCCTGTCCGAAAAGGAGAGAAAAACCCAGATAATGAATTTGCGGTAATTTTTTTTCTCTTTTGTGAATGCAGGATAGCTGTTATGTTTTGGTTTGTTGGTGGTTGGTTGATGTTTGTAACTGCAATAAAATGGGACTGAATTTATTATGAGTGCAATGAAAACGACATGTATCATGAATTTTGTTTTATAGCACTAAGAAAAATGAACAAAGCTGTTTTAGTCTGTTGAACACTTGACCACTTTGCAGGAGAAATACAAAACTGTCAGGCCTTAAAATGTAACCATCCTTCACTGAAAGCTGTCTTACCTTAAGGATCCCAGCCAGGCATCCTTTAAAATCAGTCTTTGCTACAGCAATACATATTTTACAAAGCCATATGGTTCACCATATGGTCAATAAAGCTCTCTCTCTTATCCCAGCCTGTGACCACCAAGTTGGTTACAACAAGCCACAAAATCAAGTGCTTTCCCCTTCCCTTCCCACCTTATTCATGGTATAGGAGGAAGAATAATACTAACAGTACTTTGTACTTATGTATAATTTTTCAATTGTAAATCTCAATTTTCTTTAAAATAATAGGCTCCTTATGCCTTTGAATATAGCTCAGTGGTTTGAGGATTGGCCTGCTAAACCCAGGGTTGTGAGCTCAGTCCTTGAGGGGGCCATTTAGGGATTTGGGGATTTAGTTGGGGATTGGTCCTGCTTTGAGCAGGGGGTTGGACTAGATGACCTCCTGAGGTCCCTTGCAACCCTTATATTCTATGATACTAGCTGAATAGACTGGAATTGGTTTACTAGAGCAGAGAACTGTGAACAGCTTCCCCAGTTTCATTGTCCATTTCACCATTTGCTCCGAATACAGAGCTGCAATCTTATGTCTCCATACAAGCTAGCCAATTTTAATCTGCTGTGCTTTGAGGGGCTGGTGTGTTGCGAAACTCCAGATTGTCGTTGCAGGCAGAGGATACTTACTCAGGGTTTCCCCCTACCAGGCCAGCCTAACCTGATTCACTTGACAAGCCCTGTGCCACAGCTGTCTGTTCTGCTACTCACAGTAAACTTGGCTGCTAATCAAAGTGATCCCAGATGAGATGAAAGAAAATGCTCCCATCATCAGTGAATGATGCTGGTGCAAAAACCAACAAAGATGTTTTGGCGAGATAAAGTGCTACAATGTACAATGCATCTTGATTTCCAATTTAAAAAAATTAAAATAACTAAAACACTTAGGAGCTTAGGGCTGGATTTTTAAAGGCACTTAAGCACCTAATGTGATTTTCAAAAGCACCTAGGTGCTTAACTCTAGGCATCTGGTTGCTTTTGAAAATCCCACTAGGCACCTGAATACCTTTAAAAATCTGGCCCTTGTGTCCTATTAACTTTCAATGGGACTTAGGCTCCTAAGTGAGCTCGGGGCTAATAAAAGACAGCCATGCCAATATATTCCCCATTTAAAATGGGGAGGCAGGGCCAGATAAAACAAAATTAGGTAAAGAAACATTTTCATCATGACTTTAACATTTACAGATATGAGAGAGCAATAATTAAAACAATAATTTCTTTTAAAATTGAAGACAAAGATGTTTTAAGATTAGGCTGCTTCTCCTTGCACTTAAACTCACTGAGATTTTTGATGAAAAATACAGTCTGTAAAGCACTTTTTAAGGCACTAATGTGAGAACCCTAAAGGTTACACCTGGGAAACTTGTTTTCAGCTATATTTAAAATTGTCAGAGAATGGAGTGGAGGATTTCTGTAGACAGATAAATTTGTTCCTGAAGTCTGTCATCCCACTTTGTTTAATGTGCTTTTCACATGCAAGACAGATTAGTTGGAAAATGACAGTTCAACAGAAGCAGGTGGAGCTTTTACATAATGTTACCCTTCAGTTAAAAGACCAATGTTTGACTGTTAAATAGCACATTAGCTAGCATATTGAGTCCAATCTCGCCACAGACATAGCCCTGAAATACACATACAGATTCCATTTGCAATTTTTTTTTTTAGCTTTGTAATTTCTATACTGCTGCCGTTCTTCTTTCTGATAATGAATTTGTAGATCTTTGGTTAGGATAAAAGCTATCAATCTGCTAACATGCTATTTCTAACCTTTTTTATGTTATATTTGCAGAATATGTGGATTGAGAGAACCATCTATGTGACAGCATATAAATTACCAGGGATTTTAAGATGGTTTGAAGTCAAATCAGTTTTCATGGTAAGGACAAATGAGGATGAATTTACTGAGACTACTTAGAACTTTTTTTTCCCGGTTACTGAATATATGCAGTGTATATTACTCTGCTTAACCTCAAAGTCTAATCAGTGGAACCATATGTAACCTACTAAAGGAATGGGGACTTACCTACCAACTTTTCTCATCAGGAATACTGTTGTTTATTGATTAAGGTGAATGCTCAGATAGCAAAAGTAGTATTCTTCCATCACTGGTACAAAAATATGAATGGTGAATCATATAAAACTCTCGGGCCTGATTCAGCAAGATTTTTCAGCACTTCTTACCTTTAAGCACAGGAGTATCCACCTTAAAATCAAAGGGATTACTCGTTCATTGCTGTATAAGTAGACTTGGAAGGATTCGATTTTTATTATTAAGTGTCAATTTCACCGTAAATACACAAATCAGCAAAAAAGTATTTCCAGTTTTAATAATAAAAAAAATACAGTTAGGCAAAGTAAGAAAAAGATACTTGAGATCTTACTTGAGTTTGATTTATGGATATTTATTTTGTACATTTTGACGTGAAGCTGACAATTTGTGTTTTAGCAGTTATAAACCTTTAACTTTTTGATTCTCAACATCTATTGTCATTAAATATTGTCTGATTCCTCCTATTGTCTGACCTCCCTATCATTTCCCACAACTGAAAATTTAAATAAAAATTGAAAAATGCTTCAAACAAATGATTTTGCACAATTATGAAAATGTTAACTGATAAGAATTTTAAAAATACTTAAAAATAAATATAATATCTGTCAAAATTATTTAAAAAAAAAAAATCTGCCAAGGGCCCTAATTTGTAAAGACCACAAAAGTATTGCTTTTTAAAAGTAGGAATTGGATAATTTAACTGTAATTTATCTAAGGGAAGACAAACTAAATTAAATTACTTGTGCTGACTAAATTTCTTTTGTAAATATTATTAGTGATTAAATGTTGTTTGAGTTCTCTCTGTTCTTTAAAGTTAGCTAAAATATGCCCTAAAAACTTCACCAAGAATTTTAACAAATGTGTACATCCGTTTTCTAGTTCATAACTAAAACTGTTTATATAAAATATATCCATAAAATATCTTACATACTAAATTAGCTGTAATTTTTAAGTTGCAATGAAAACATTGTTACTTGCTGGAGTTTTTAAATCTTCCTTGTGAGGCTTTTTTTTTTTTTTTAAAGGGAAAGAACAATTGGCATATGGTTAATTAAAAGCATTTTATTGCTCCATTGAGATTCGGTTGGACAGTTGTATTTAGATGAACAAAAGTAATGCAGAAAATGACTATGGTATCTATAGTAACAGAATATGAATGTGATGTTTGACAGTATTAGGCAACTGAATAAAACATTTTGAATTTTTTTTTTGTATTTTTATGTTTTCAACATAATCCTGATAGAGATGATAGCATTTACCTTCTCTGTTGCAAGAATTGTTTTCTGTAAAACCTAGCATATCTGATGAAAATTCCTTCACCTTCTGAGTTAAGAACACAGTCTGACAGGCCACTTCATCCACTTTGTACATGTTCACTTTTAATGCTGTGCACCTGATAGAAATGTGCATGAATCTGTCTAATGGAGCTCTTTCTATAAGCCTTTTGTAAGCAAGGATTATATTAATCACAGTTGAAAAAAGGAAACAGAAACAAAAGTAACTTAATGTTGGAGGAGAGCAAAGGATGACTTTTGACCAACTATGTAAGATCTATTTACTACAAAAGCAGTTATTAGCTGCATAAACATTCGTATCAGGTAAAACTCTAGCAGCATAATTGCAAATCTTGCACCTCTATAACACAACATTTTAATTCCTGATATAAATACTTTGGGTACATTACAGAACACAATGAATGAAACTCCTTTGAATATTTTATAAGTTGTTGATAGAACTAGAAAATTCCATTTTAAATAAAGGGTTGATGCCACATCAAATCATTGACTAGAGAGGATTAAATAATTTAATAGATGAATTAATTTATTTTTTCTTTTTGTAAATAACTAATAGCAGCTTATGATTTCCTTTAATTTGTTGTTTGAAATTATTTGCTTCACTTTTACTAATACTTCTTGGTCTGTAGATTGTTTGCAAGCAGGTTGTTGTGAGTATTTGAATATTTTAAATTTGAGCTCTGAAATTTTATTTGGACTCACAGATCATATACTGGTGTTTCTCTGTAATGAATGGATGAGCATAACTTCTAAAATCAGGTTTCTGGTTTGAATACACAGTTTTACAAGTTTGGTATTAATTTTAAAAGTTTGTGTGCACAAACTTAGTTACAGACAGAGTAATTTGTCATGAAACCTTGAATTCTAAAATAATGCTCAAAACACACTTTAAAAAATTATAATTAAAACAGACTTGATTTAATCAGATAGCAGGTGTAAGAGTGACAACTAAAGAAATTTGATTATAAGTGGCTCTCAGAAGCATGTTAAGCAACTGATAGCTAGCTAGAAGTGCTTCATTTATGCAGAGTTTATGTAAATTAGAGTGTAATCAGCTACACACTTGCATTTTCCTAACAGGCCCCAATTAACCCCCCACACATGCCTTTTCCATTCCTACCACAACATTTTTTCGATAAATAGGCTAGAACTTTAACACTCTTTAATTGAGAGACTTCCAAAATGTGGAAATCTCTCTCTCACTTAGGGTATTCAGAGGACTTGCTGGTGGTCTGTAGAGAGCTTGCTCTCCTCATAGAGAGTGTTAAATCACATTAATATGTATTTTAGCTATATTTTAAATATTTTCCAGATATTACTTTTAGGCATAACCAACTGTTGTAGTTGCCAAAAGGATGTTATCTGATCACAAATGATGGGAGGTGATCCATATGATTTCAATGGGAGGGAGGTGCATACAATGCAATCTCTCTATTAAGAACCAATGCACCTTACTAAAGAGTTTGAGGACCCCTACTTTAAACAATGAAATAACTTTAGACCATGGAATAGAATCATATAACTCGAAGGGACCTCGAGAGGTCATCTAGTCCAATCCCCTGCACTCATGGCAGGACTAAGTATTATCTAGACCATCCCTGACAGGTGTTTGTCCAAACTGCTCTTAAAAATCCCCAATGATGGAGATTCCACAACCTCCCTAGGCAATTTATTCCAGTGCTTAACCACTCTGACAGGAAGTTTTTCCTAAACCGCCCTTGCTGCAATTTAAGCCCATTGCTTCTTGTCCTATCTTCAGAAGTTAAGAAAAAAAAAATTTCTCCCTCCTCCTTGTAACAACCTTTTATGAACTTGAAAACTTATCATGTCCCCTCTCGGTCTTCTCTTTTCCGGACTAAACAAACCCAATTTTTTCAATCTTCCCTCATAGGTCATGTTTTCTAGACCTTCAGTCATTTTTGTTGCTCTTCTCTGGACTTCTCCAATTTGTCCACATCTTTCCTGAAATGTGGCACCCAGAACTGGACACAATACCCCAGTTGAGGCCTAATCAGTGTGGAGTAGAACGGAAGAATTACTTCTCGTGTCTTGCTTACAATACACCTGCTAATACATCTATAGTGAAGCAACGACTCTCCGGCACGGTGCCTCCTGCTGATCATCCAGGGAATTAGCTTTTCCAGCCGTGGAGTGCCCTCTGCCAGCCGGTATCCCCACAGAAATCCCAGAATGATGTTTGCTTTTTTTGCAACAGTGTTACACTGTTGACTCATATTTAGCTTGTGATCCACTATGATCCCCAGATCCCTTTCTGCAGTACTCCTTCCTAGGCAGTCATTTCTCATTTTGTATGAGAAGAAAACTTTTTTTTTTGGTTTAATTATCCAAAATAGAATGAAGACAGTGATATCTGCTAGGCAAATATGATGGCCTTTTTTTATAACATATTTAATACAACTTCCTGAGAGGCTACCAAAATAGTTACTGCAAAAGTACATTCTCCCTTTTTAACATGTGACTTTCTGAAGAGCATATAATCAAATTCCATCAGACAGTCCAGTCCAAGATGCTGGCTTTGCTGTTACCATAATGGTAACTGGATCACTCCTGTCTATCCACTAAGAGCTGCATGTCCATAAGTCTTCATAGAATAATTTTCCTCAGTATCTCACTAGAAGCTCACTTGGGCTCTGTCAAAGTAATTCCAATGTTTTAGACTTGCTTGATCTTTCTGAGAGCCTTGGCCTATGCAGTAATTATGCTGTAAGAGTGAAAAATAGTAAACCTTTTATCTGTTTATATCATATCAGTTACCGCAGTATTGACACTATATATCTTGCCTAGTAGAAACGGCACCTTCCTGCAGCTATTGACTAAAATTCCTCTTTCACTCTAAAATCTATTAGTTATCATTGGGATGGTTTTGTGGGGAGCAAACTATTCAAGTGTGGCCTGTTACGTGACTACTGGACCAGTAATTAAAACTTATTTTTGTGCTGTTCTTTCAGGTTGAAATCAGTCCACTGGAAAATGCAATAGAAACTATGCAGTTAACAAATGATAAGATCAATAATATGGTTCAACAACATTTGAATGATGCAGACCTACCTATTAACCCCCTCTCTATGCTACTTAATGGCATTGTGGATCCTGCAGTCATGGGAGGATTCACAAACTATGAAAAGGTATGTTCAAAATTAGCTTTGTTTGGTCATGGAATCTAATCAAGTGTGTGTGGTGTGTACGGGTGCATGTAAACATGCATTATAGGTCAGTTTTGGAATTTTCCACATCTCGAGTATATTATAAATGGGTGATATTTATAAAGGAATTCTGTGGGTTGAAGAAAGAGAAACAACTATAAGGATTGTTAACAGTGAGGGTTATTAACCATTGGACCAATTTCCCAAGATAAATATGTACACATGAAAGCTTAGTATAAAAATGGTGAAAATGTAAAAACTATAGTAGTGCCTATTCAAACTGCTGTACATAGGCAATAAGTTTTTGTAAGATAACTAACTGGGACATGTGGTTTGCACTTAGGGTGACCAGACAGCAAGTGTGAAAAATCGGGACAGGGGGCGGGGGGGTAATAGGCGCCTACATAAGACAAAGTCCCAAATATTGGGACTGTCCCTATAAAATCAGGACATCTGGTCACTCTATTTGCACTCTTTGAGCTGTTATTGGAAGAACTCTTCCAGCCTCCAATATCCCTGGCCTAGTTTACCTACATAGGACACTTAAACCACTGGACACGGATATATAGTATTGCGGAAAGTAAATAATGTTGTTGTGCTGCAACATGTATTGTAGGCTTCAAAATTTAACTAATCTTCCTAGTGACCCCCAAAATTGCACTTGGGCACAATACTCATAATTGTAGATGAGGAGGACTAAGTAGAAACCTTCAGCAGTACTTCTTGCTTGACCAGAGGGTTCAGTGTTGAGCAACATATGATAATATTCCTCTCCCTGCCCCAAAAGGATGGATATCATGATCTCTTGCACTCTTAAATTGTCTTTCATTGCTTTTAATTATGTATTTGTAGGCATGTTATTACTGACATTTTGTAGCAAAATCTTTTGGTTTGATTCATTTTCCTTTGCTATAACTAAAAGCCTTTCTAGATAGTGAATGTTCAATCATTTTCTGAAATAACTGGTACTTTTCTGTTTTCATTAGGCTTTTTTTACTGAAAAATACATGCATGAGCATCCAGAAGATCACGAAAAGATAGAAAAACTAAAGGACCTCATAGCATGGCAGGTAAACTGTCTAATTCAAATCATGCCTGGGCCAAGTGGCATACAAAGGCAGCCTGCTGTCACTTGTGACAAAATTCAGGCATCAAACCATTCACCCTAGTGTATACATTTCCGTGGCATTTAGACTGTCTTGGAACATGAGCTAAAGTTCATCTTTTCAAATCTGACATAGTTTGTCATTTGATAATCCCATAAGTGACTAACATTATTAACCTATTTTTTTATTACATAGTCTCTCCTGTTACCAGTTTAGAGATACAAATACACTCTCACTTTCAAATGACTCAATATCTTATGATTGTGTTGGCCAATTCTGTTGTAAATTTAGTTGTAATTTTTTCCAATATAGCTCAGTGGTTTGAGCATTGGCCTGCTAAACTGAGGGTTATGAGTTCAATCCTTGAGGGGGCCACTTAGGGATCTGGGGCAAAAATCAGTACTTGGTCCTGCCAGTGAAGGCAGGGAGCTGGACTCGATGACCTTTCAGGGTCCCTTCCAGTTCTAGGAGATAATAATATATGGAGATATACCTATTATTTTATTATTATATGCTAAATTAATAAAGAATTACAATAAAAACTAAGTTAAGAGTATTAAGGCCTTACAGTTTAAGAACTCAGAATTTAAATGCCTAGGTTACATGTTCAACCATAAGTCTGTCCCCTTATGCAAATGCTTTATAATGTTGTCTGTTTACATGATCACTTATTGTTTCTCCAGATAATATATATAACTATTTTTTCCACAACCACAGATGTGCATATGTATCATCTTGTAGCAGTGTATACTGTGTATGACAGATAGTCAATTAAAGTCATGTATACACAAAATGCATAGGAGGCAAGAGTTTCTGCAAAGCCTTTGCCTCATTCCCAGCACACCTTACACACACACACACACACACACAATTGTAGAGTGAGTGAGTGTGTGTGTGTGTGTGTGTGTGTGTGTGTGTGTGTGTAGATATATATATATATATATTACAGTTACATAATATATGTATTACTATATATACACACACAGACGATATATACATACATATCATAATATATAATGTATGGTGGAACTCTACAATGCCTTTTTTACAATCACTGTTCATAGAAGAAACATACTTTAAATAACTTATGAGGTGTCACAGATATTTGTAGTGAACCAGAAATAGAACCCAGATCTCCAAGTCCTGTGTCTTAAACATAGAACCATCCTTCCTCTGTGAAGATCTGCATTTATGTCTTCCAAAGAATACATTTTGAGAAAAACAGGAAACCACATTCTAGCTGTATTGTAAGGCTATACTCTGATATTTTTTCATTGGCCTCAGAATAATTTTATGATAAAAATCCACAGATGTGACTAGAAATGTTTTTACCCTGAAAAAAGTATATTATAGTGTTTTATATTCAATTCTGTCTTTATTATAAATGGAATAATTTAAATTTCTAGAGGATTCAATTTTAGATGTAGTAGAAACCAAAGATATAATACACAAAAATCCTTGGAAGGCCATAAAACTATTGCAGAACAAACACTAGTTTGGTCTGCAAAAGTTCTATTGATTTTTGTTGTTGTTGTTGTTCCCCTGTAAGGTTTTACAGCAGATTGGATTTTAGGGACTTCAGATTCTAGAGAGGAAAATAATTTATCCCAAGAGAGTAACTTCATGTCAGCACTGTCATTATCCCTAATGACCCTATTAAAAATGAATTGTATTGGTGCTCATGAACACACTTTACCCCAAAAGACAATCATCCTGCTGGCAACACAGATACAAGAATAAACACTGGAAAATGCATTATTTAAAATCTGTAAATTTTGTTTTGTCAACATGTTTAAAAATACACACAACTTCCTTGTCACTAGTTTAGTTCCAAGTGTGATAGAAGCTAAGCAATTTAAAGACAAGAGATTAATACAAACAAATATTTTTCTGAAACTGTCACCAGTAAGTGATAAAAATCAAAATGCAAAAGGAATAATTTTGAAACTACCTGATATAAAATTAGAGTGTTTATGATTCCTAAAACATTTCTGAAAACTTTTTCAAATAGCATAACTTCATAGAAAAGGTGGCAGGTTAAAGAAAACTTTTAAACTGTATTTCACATAAGGAACAAGATGGCTCAGGGGACTGGAGAGAGATACAGTATAGAGCCTTTATCATTAAATCACTGTTTTGACTTCGTCTCCAGCTCAGCAGTTGGTATCTGTTGGCCAACATGAAACACAGTAAGTTGGCAGTTTCAGTCCAATTCCTAATAAATAGGTTTCTGTATCTCAACTGAGCAAATTATAGGTGCTCAGAGATTTGATACCTCAATATAGATCATTGTGTTAATAAAACATTATGATATTGAATGTTGCCAATTACCTCCGTGACTATTTTGTTTGTATTGTTGCACCCCTTCACCTTCCCTTTGTCTCATTTGTCTTTTGGAAAACAACCTCTTCAGGGTAGGGCTAGTGCCTTCTATTTGGAAAGTGAAAAATAAAACGTGTATTTGGAATAGAATGATTTTTTTTATTGTATATTCTTATTTTAAAATATAAGTATTGGCAGTAAGATGATCGTCTTATGCAGTAACTTGTATGCATGGGCACCACTGGAAACAAGTAATTGGTATTAATCTTTAATTGATACGCTTTAGTTGAAGGGTAATCTTTGTTGAGAGAGAGGCCAAAGATTAAGACCTCATTCCTGGGCACCTTCTAGGCCAGTGGTCTCCAACCTATTTACACACAAGATCACTTTTTGAATTTAAGTGCAACCTAGGATCTACCCCGCCCTTTCCCCGAGGCCCCACCCGCCTCACTCCATCCTCCGTCTAGGCTGGGGCAGGGGGTTGGGGTTCGGGCTCTGGGCTGGGGCCGAGGGGTTCGGAGTGTAGGAGGGGGCTCCGGGCTGAGCCTGGGGCATGGGGTTGGGGTGCAGGAGAGGGTTTGGGGTATAAGAGGGGTTACGGGGTGCTGGCTCTGGGAGGGGGCTCGGGGTTGGGGTGCGGGCTCCCGCTGGGTGGTACTTACCTTGGGTGGCTCCCTGGTGATGACGCAGCAGGGCTAAGGCAGGCTCCCTGCCTTCCCCAAACCCATGACACTCCCGGAAGGGGCCAACGCGCCCCTGCAGCCCCTGTGGGGGGGGGGTGGCGGGGACGTGGCTCCATGCGCTGCCTCTCTCTGCAGGCACCACCCCTGCAGCTCCCATTGGCCGCAGTTCCCTGTTCCCAGCCAATGGGAGCTGCGGGGGTGGTGCTTGCAGGCAGGAGCAGCGCACGGAGACCCCTGCCCCCCTCCCCGCTACACCACCAGACTTTTAGTGGCCAGAGATCGTGATCAACTGGGAGAGTCTCCAGGACAACCAGTTGATCATGATCTACAGGTTGGTGACCACTTTTCTAGGCTCAGTCTCAAATTTGGCATGCAGATTGGCACTACTCTCTGGAGAGACCCCTACAGAACAAGGTGGAAGTACAGAGAAATGGAGCAATGTGTGGGAAAATTCAGTGTTGCATCCTATGCTTTACTTAAATTGTGGATGAGAACTTCATTTTTCAGTGCTTCCATGTAGTCTGGTGCCTTCTGTTAATGTGTACTTCAAGCTACTACACTAAATTAGTACCGTGTAAAACAGTCACAACAAAATTCAAAAACATCCAAACTTCGGGTGTTTGAACATTGTTTTAAATTCATGAAAATCCTATGAAATGTCATGGTATTTCTCTCATGGGAAATGATTGCGCTGCTCAACTGCCTATATTCTAGTTTTTAAATCTATTGTATTCATTTTAGGTGTTTATTTTTGTCTAATTTTGTGCCTTTTCACTTCCTAGAAAAATCAGATCCTGTAGTTTTATTTGACAGTATCATTTAGATCTGAAATAGGCTGTTTCATCAGCACATGACAGTAATGAAGTTCATCTCAGTGCAATAGTCACTCAACTTCTAGCCATTATACTTAGAGCACACCAAGACTACCACAGAGCACAAAGAATTATTTCTGTACCCTTCCCATACCAGTGAAAGTGAATTAAACCCAAATTAAAACACCATCAAGTTCCTAAATTCAGCCCTGCTCATCTAAGAAACAGCTCTGTCTTCCTTGTTTCCTTGCTCTCAAACATATCTGGTCTTCTCCTCTGTCTGTGCCCTGAGAATTTTGCTTAGCAAACCCTTTAATCCAATGTCATTAAGCTCTGGGTGCATGGTGCTCATGTTCTCAAAACTAACCTGGACTAGTTCAGACAGGCTTGGCCACTAATCTTCCTTGTTCAGCTGCTCTTGAACATCAAGGAACTTCACACAGGTTTGACCGTATCCATGGTCCACTGGAGCCTGCTCATCTGCTAGTCTCCGTCATAACTAAAGAGAATGCTTAACCCATACAGTCTTCTTAATGACCATCCAGTTGCTGTTGCTATAGCCAGTCCTATTGAGGTCCCTTGGGCCAGGCCTCTGTTTAACTTTCTGTGCAGAGCTTCATAGCACACATTTATATCAAGAATTCATAATACATTTCATTAACACCTCTGTCATAACAGGGGAGAGTTTAGCCCTATTGAATTCTGCTGCACAGAGCCAGCTAAATTTATGTGCTCAGCTTGACTCTGCAGTCATGGAAACGGATGTAGGTAGGGAAATAGGATGCTGCCCCTCAGGAGTTGCAGCTGATCCTGCTCAATTCACAAAGGAAGAAGGAACAAACTCTGTTCTTCCAGGCCCCTGGGGATGGCACCGGGGAGGTCCTGCTGAGCTTCCTCAATTTTGTGGGGTTGGGAGCAGATCTCTGAGGTTCTCTCTGGCTGGGGGCAAGTCAGCTGTAAAGAAGCCACATACTCCAAACAGCAATTCGGGCTGGTTTCTCCAAATTTGAGCTGTCAGCACAAGAGGATGGTCCTGTTGGTGCCAAAGGTCTCTTCCTCTCTCCCTGTCTGCAGAGCTGCTGCAGAGGCACTGTATATCCCCTTTTCTGCCAGCCTAATTGTTCTCAGGATTGGTCAAGCTGATGCAGAGCTCTCATTAATTTATCTCATTTATTGTTTTATTTGTACATCTATTTAAAAAAAAAAAAAAAAGGAGCGCCCATCTCTTCCTTTAGATGCTCCTTGACAATCCTTCAAAACACATCAATGAAATAGACCCTTGTTGTAACTCTTCCCCCACCAACATATGCACTGCAAACATAGCCCTGCTGCAAAAATGTATAAATTTTAAGATCTGTTGCCCAAGTCTTCCCATTCCCTTATAGCGAGGAAAAACAAATGAGCCAATGCACTCTTTACTTGGCCCTATGGAAACTGAGATTCATTTATTGTAGACAGAAAATTAGGAACAAGACCATTTGAAAGTTTAATTTTTTGCTACTGAGTACAAATTCATATGGATTATAAATAAAAGTGGATAGTGTAGAAATATTGTGGGTTTTTTTGAAGAGTGCCAAGAGAAGCAACAGCTGTGTGCTGTTAAATGGCACAAAATGCATTTTATTCATGGATTCATCTTGATAAGATTTCTTAAATTTGTTCACATGTAATTTAATTGTGTACTTCTTATCCTCCTTACTAATAAGTCTGCTCATTTAGATTGCTGATCCATCATATTAGAAAAATCTGTTTTTAATCAGTATTACAGTTTAATTATGAATTATTAAGGGGAAACCTCTTAGCTTGATTGCTGCAAAGAATATCTGACTCAGAACCAGAGCACTGTGTAGGTTGGAGCTGATCTGGAAAAGGAAATATTTTTCTTAAACATGAGATAGAACTACTATCAGATTCTTTTATGTTGCTGTGGGAATAAAAATGTCTCTCTTAAAACATTTTAAAAGGTCAGCTACACCTCCACACTATGAACTAATTATATAACCTTGTGTTGGCACCGATATTTTGTGACAGCAGCCTTGCAGATAAATTATTATTTTCAGTTATAAAAGAGAATTAATTTATTCTCCCTCCTCCCCCCACTTCACTCTCTACTAAAAATCATTGAAAACCAATTTATGAAAAAAATATTGTCATTTTTGGTATGTAGAGCTGTATGTTTTCTTAAATATGTTGTATACAATATCTAAGATATTTTTTCATGATAACACAGGGTTTCATAAATAGCATGTGTTAAACAGAAATAGATATGAATATTGTTTTTCTCTGCTGTTTATTCCCATGAAATTTGGTGGGGCTGATACTAATAGTCTAGCTCAGCAATACTCAGACTCAGGCTCGCAAGTGGCTCTTTAATGTGTCTCCTGCAGCTCTTTTCAGCACATGATATTAAAACACTGATTTACTTATTAACCGATCAGGATGCTTTTAATATGTTATTAACCAATTGTAGATGATAAAATAATAATACTTGGTCAGTCATTTTGCTGTGAGAATTAGTTTATTTTTATATATATATATATAACTAAATATTTCCCCTGTCATACTGTTTAAATATGAATATATAGTACTATAGTAAATGAAACAATGAATTCACACTACTGTGGCTCTTTTGGGTAATGTTGATCGCTAATTTGGCTCCTGAACCACTGAGGTCTGAGTATCACTGGTCTAGCTTTTGAGTCAAATTTAAAGTGCAGTATGTTTGAGGGTTTTTTAAACATAAGTAAAGGGGTATTTGTTCAACCTGATAAATTTAGCTGTACCTTATAATTGCTGGGCAGAATTATGCATACATTAATTTTAAATGACTATGCGCAACGCAGAGTGAAAATGAAATCATATATAGTACAAAAAAATCACCATGTTCTGCTTTAGTTGCTATTAGTATTCCATAAAAATCTCATATTCCTCTTAGAAGCCTTACGGTGTAGGTAGAGCCCCCCTTGCTCTACTCCCTTTCATGAGAGAAGACCAGAAAATTCATTGTCATCTAATTGTCTTCTTTAGATTCCATTCCTGGCAGAAGGTATCCGAATTCATGGAGAGAAAGTAACTGAAGCACTAAGGCCATTTCATGAGAGAATGGAGGCCTGTTTTAAGCAGCTTAAAGAAAAAGTGGAAAAGCAATACGGTATCAGAACAATTGTAAGTTGTCTCCAAACCTGACATTTAAAAAAGAATCTGTTTTTAGAATTGCTGTAATTCACATTTCAGTGATTAAATGAATATGTAGAAAAAACAGTTTTAATAGAGGGTGACTAAGAATCTTAAGGGAGTATGTGGTTTTTCATTTTGTTTTGGTGTTGTGGTACTCGTGGATTTAAACTTATTTTTAGACAGAGGTTTATTTCTCTTAACGTCCCTAAAATGTTCCACGTGGGTAGCCGCACAAAAGTATAGTGACTTGCCTTGTGTTGCACATCAAATGAGTATCTCTCCTGAGATTAGAATATAATATCTTTCTGGTTTCTAGATTTTTGTCCTGTACTCTATGCCTATCCAGAAGGTTGTCTTCTGAAGCATAGTTATATATCAGTGGCTTCAACAGGTATCTTTGTCTGTAACTATGCTAGATGAATAGGTCTACTTGGTTAATTTATCTCTGGACTAGCAATTGTAGCTTAGCGCATGGGGCCCAGTTAAAGACTTCACTTAAATTGTCAGTGCTTAGGAGAAGTGACCAAATGTCCTAAAAAACATTCAAAAACCCTTATCAACATGACTCCACAGCATAAAAGACTTACCCCAAAATACCAGGATCTGTCCATTGGAAGTCAAGATAGTCCCTCAAAGTGTTCAGGTTTTAAGGATCTTTTACACAGGTTACAATCTCTAGGAGGTTCTGACATCTTTGAAGCATTCGTTCTTTGAAGTCAGAGGTTCATATCAAGGAATATCACAGAGTATCATCACTTCCAAAGCTAGACTCTCACTTCCAAAGCTAATTCTAAGGCTGTTTTAAATGTTTTTTTTTCAATAAGTCAGGGTCCTGTATCTGCAGATTCTCAGCAATGACTTGCTACTCTTAAGTACAAACTGCATCCTTGACCTTACTTGTAAATCTCCTGCTACTATAACTCCAAACTGTAGTTCAGGAGACCAGGGGAGGTAGATTGTTCTCTGTGGATGGTCCTCAGTACTGTAATTTGCACTCTCCCAACATGAACAAATCATTTTTGGCCACCCTTCTGCCTCAGCTTCAAGATGCAGCCAGAAATTTTGAAAGTCCCCTTACCCTTTGAACCTTGTTGATTAAAGGCGGGTTAGTAAGTAGAGAGGTTTTGTTTTGGTTTAAGACTGAGTGTTGCTGCTTAGTGCGGGGAGTGTTTCAAGTGCTGGCTCTTGTAGCCTGCACGTAGGTTCTTAATTGAGAATGTATTTTGAAAGCCATAAGTGCACTTGGAGATTATGCAAAGCAGGCACATGTTTTATAAATACATTTTAAAAATTCAGTAACATACAAGTAAAGAGTTAGAGTTAACCTTAGGTCTGATTGTGCTGGGATTTGTGTTCTGAAAGTATGTTGAAGGCTTCTGTTCCAACTCTTATGCCTTGTATATTAGTAGCATTGACAAGCTCAGAATCAAAACCTCCATCACTGTTATAAGTATTCTTTAACCTTGTTGTTAGGTCTTGGTTAGATTTGTAATGAAAAAGAAAGACTCAGATGAAACTTACATCCACTGTACACTCTTTCCCCCTTGTTACTGTTTAAAAAATAAATAAATAAATAAATACATGAATGTATTCAGTGTTTATCAGAAATACAAGTGAATCTATACCAGTGAGTGAATAAACTCAGATTTTGTCTACTTCTTTATGTTGACCTGCATTGTTTATCTTGGTCCCAAATGGCTAACTAGATTTCAAGCTGTAGTAATCACAGAAATAGCTCATGAAAAATGAAATTAAGGGAGAATCTACTTAACAATTTGATAAGATGTGACCTTGTAGCAAAATATGATTTGTCTCCAAGAAAGCAAATATCAGAAATTACTTAAGAGAGTAAATATTTTCCCAGAAATTGTAAAAAATAATTTCAAGCAAGAGAAAATGTACACTAATAATTGAAACATTCAGAAAATCCCCCACAAAAAAACAATATATTTGTAATGTTGCACAAGTGCATTTCCTATCAATAAGACCATTAAAAATAAAGAAAATCGCCAATTGAAGAAACATTAACTACTACATTGTTCTGCAGGCAGTCCAGCTTGCCAGTGTATGCTCCTGGTTCCCAAGCTGCCTGGCTGCAATCTGTACTCCAATTCTGGCTTCCTGCCTAGTTCTGTGGCATACTGTAGGAAGCATGCATGGTAATCCAGCTAACTCCCCATTAGAAGGAAAGCTGATGAGCAAGACACAGCAGCAGACGGGTCCCAGCAAGGCAAGGAGACAAAACAAAATATTGAATGCCTGGCTGCAGCAGAATGGCAAATTCCATGGTGAAATGTTGACTTCTGTGGAGCTTGGAAAAATGCCAGATTCCACAGTGACCCTGTGATGGCACGGACTCACCACTGCTGGCGCCTCCTGCTGGTTGCTCTGGGAATTAGCTCAGTCCTAGCTGTGCAGCTCCCTCAGCAGATGGTGTCCCGCCCATTGCCTGCTCTGCTGTGCTGTCTGGGACCCGCATTGCTCCCTGGTTTGCGGCATCCTCCTCTGGACACAGCCCTCCGGCTGTGCCCCACTCAGTTCTCTCCCCTTCCGGGGGTGATGGCAGTCCTTCGGCTTGCACCTGCCTCAGTGGCCAACCACAACCCAAAGTCTAGCCCCTCACCTCAGGGCAAGTTGCAGTGTGTATCAGCCACACTCCTCCGCAGCCAGGTGCAGTGCAAGGCGGGGACCCAGGCCCATCCACTACTCTGGGTCCCAACCCAGGGACCCTCTGGTGGCAGCCTCTCTCTGCCCTCCTTCTCGCCTCTTGTCCGACTATCTTCCCTGGGCCACTTCCCCTTTGGCCCCTTGCACCTTCTTGGGCCTTCTAGTCAGGGGCTGCAGCCTGGCAGGTCACAGGCGGAAGCCCTCTCTCTGCTAACCCTGAGCCGGCCCAGCACTGCTCTGTCCAAAGTGTTACCTCCTTACCTCAGGAGCCAGTCCTTCTCCCTTGCTAGTCAGAGAGAGACTGCCCTCTCCTTTGCTAGGCAGCCTTTATATAGGGCCCAGCCTGGCCTTGATTGTCTGCCTCTTTCTTTGCCCTGATTGGCTCTCCACACGCCGTTGCTGACTGTTCCAGCCCTTTTTCTCATGGAGTGGGGCAGCCGCCCCGCTACACACCCCAGTTCGGATGGCAGTTCATGTGAGTTATTGTATCAGGCAGTCTGCATACTTAGACAGAAGTCACTGCAGTGGTTTACATTTGGTTCACGTTTTGAAGGTTATCTCTGCAACCATAAGGGCTAGAGCCATAATTATTTAAAAATGAAAATTCTGAATTTGGAGCATGATTCTGCAGTATTGGGTGAATTCCAGAACTGCAGAATCACAGAATAAACAGGGCTCCCGCTATGCCATTTTTGAACTTTTTATGGACCTTTAAGGTAGGATTAATCAGACAGGAGCTCCCAACAGGTCTGAGATTTTGGGTAGCCCTTACCAGAGGCAGCACAAGATGTGTTTCATTAATCCCACCCCACTGCACAGTGCACACCCGTGAAAGAGCTAGCCACCGTCTAGTCCTTAGTGAATAGCGATTGAAACACTAATAGGAAAATTTTGCAAAGAAGTCTGTTAAAGGTTAATTCTAGGGTGATTCCTAGAAAGAGCAGCCTGACATTATGTCCCTTGTATGAAAAAGACAAACTATAATTCATGGAATGTGTAATCTAAACATATTATATCCAAGATTCAGTGCACCAAATTCTGATTGCAGTTACAATGGATGTACAGCACTGTATGTCCAGTGATGGTGCTACTCCAGATTGACACTTGTGTAACTGGGATCAGGATCTGGCCCTGAATTTCTGTTATTACTGGGGATCACACAGGTGTTTAAATTGTTTATTTTAAACACACTAAGTCAGAATCTTCGCTGTGCCAGATTTCCACTGGGCACAGTAGAGTGGGACAACAGGGATCTGGTTATAGCTCTCTGATTCTTTGATCAGTGCCAGTGTAGCTTAGAGCATCCTGGGCCAGGTGCCAACGGTCCCCAAGAGAACAGATGCCAGCTGAAGATAGCAAGAATACAGCACACGCTAGCCACACCAACTCTCTGCCCCAACTAAACATCCTACTCTGGGAGTCTGTGAGATGAGTGGCAGGAGAGCCAGTGCACCAGCGGAGCAGAATGGGCTAATGAATTTGACTGACAGCTCTGACTTCAGAAACTCATTTTCAGATCCTTCTATAGTGGTGATATTTTTAAGGTAATGACATATTTAGAGAAGAGAGAAATCCTATCTGAAGCTTACCAGCCTTGATAGTGTCCTTGTAAATGTTTTTCCCTTTATGGTCCTTAAATCCCTGCTTGATATGTTTGATGCACTGTGCCTCTAAATAGTAATTTATTCCCAAGAAGAAACGAGATATTGCCATTAACTATACTTACGTGTCACTTGCTTCAGTCATATACATTAACACTGTCAAAGAGATGACTGGAAAGTCAGACCCAGTTGGTGTTATCTTGCCAGTGTCACTCTGATCCGCTACTAAGAATTGATGAAATTTTATCACTTCTGTCTTTCTTGTACAATGCCAACTTAGCAGTAGTTGACAGCGTGGAAAAGCTACCTGTGACTAAACAGCAGGAGATTCTTATTTTTGTCTGAAAGAGTTCAATTATTTTATGCATATATCAGTTATTAATGACTAACAAAGCTTGTATAAATATTCAGAACTATAAAAGAGCATCTGCATAAAAAACAACGTTTAAATATTTCCTTCTCAACCTAGATGTCACTCTGTGAAAGTGGTTCTGTTAACAGCAATACCATATTTGTGGTTTTTTAAAACTTTGGCTCATTATTGCTGTTACTCAGTCCTGGATTATACTAGGGTACCAGTAGCATGCATGTGCACCCCAAGTCGGAGGAAACCGTAGGTGCTTCAACAGCCAGGCGTTGTAGGTGCTGGTAGCCCTGGTGAGTCCCAGTAACCATTCAGACATATGGCTAAGGGAAAGGTTAGTTTTTGTGGAACTGGCAGGAAAGGGAAAGATTGCAAATACCCTAGGAAGAGAGGCTTAATAGTTACAGTGCAAAGTGTGCAATAATGGTAAATGTTTCAGTCCCTAGGGGGCAGTCCAATTGAGAATTGGGGCTCTTCAACTAGTGCCTGAGGTGCCCTCACCAGTTCAGTCTCTGCTCAAAGCAAATAGGACCTTGCAGGTTTCCAAGCCAGGCTCAGTTAGTGTCTATCATTGGGGCCCCTCTGCAATAGCTCCCTGCCAACCACTGCTGCTCCCCCATAAATCCCACACAAGCCTGCACCCAGGTGTAATGTCTGGGAGTCACAGCCTCTTCCACAGGTGGCGCTCCATATTGTTCCTGTTTTCAACTTCTCTCCAGCTTCCTGTTTCCATGTGGCCACTGCTTCAGCTGACCTCAGCTCCTGGCTTCCCTGTGGCCACCGCTTCCAACCACAGCCCAGCCACTTCCTGGTTCAGGGCCTTTCCCCTTATCTGGCCAGAAGAATGGGAAGTGCAGTGGGTGAGGAGGAGTTATAGTCCCCTGCCTTGCAGAGCCATACCTGTGTTTAAAATTAAGCATATGCTTAAGTACTTTCCTGAATCAGGGCCTAACTGTTTGCTTTTTCTCCTTAAATATATCTAGTAACAGTATCTGTGTGATTATAGATTATTTATCAGAGGGGTAGCCGTGTTAGTCTGAATCTGTAAAAAGCAACAGAGGGTCCTGTGGCACCTTTGAGACTAACAGAAGTATTGGGAGCATAAGCTTTCGTGGGTAAGAACCTCACTTCTTCAGATGCAAGTAATGGAAATCTCCAGAGGCAGGTATAAATCAGTGTGGAGATAACGAGGTTAGTTCAATCAGGGAGGGTGAGGTGCTCTGCTAGCAGTTGAGGTGTGAACACCAAGGGAGGAGAAACTGCTTCTGTAGTTGGATAGCCATTCACAGTCTTTGTTTAATCCTGATCTGATGGTGTCAAATTTGCAAATGAACTGGAGCTCAGCAGTTTCTCTTTGGAGTCTGGTCCTGAAGTTTTTTTGCTGTAAGATGGCTACCTTTACATCTGCTATTGTGTGGCCAGGGAGGTTGAAGTGTTCTCCTACAGGTTTTTGTATATTGCCATTCCTGATATCTGACTTGTGTCCATTTATCCTCTTGCGTAGTGACTGTCCAGTTTGGCCAATGTACATAGCAGAGGGGCATTGCTGGCATATGATGGCATATATAACATTGGTGGACGTGCAGGTGAATGAGCCGGTGATGTTGTAGCTGATCTGGTTAGGTCCTGTGATGGTGTTGCTGGTGTAGATATGTGGGCAGAGTTGGCATCGAGGTTTGTTGCATGGGTTGGTTCCTGAGTTAGAGTTGTTATGGTGCGGTGCATGGTTGCTGGTGAGAATATGCTTAAGGTTGGCAGGTTGTCTGTGGGCGAGGACTGGCCTGCCTCCCAAGGTCTGTGAAAGTGAGGGATCATTGTCCAGGATGGGTTGTAGATCACTGATGATGCGTTGGAGAGGTTTAAGCTGAGGACTGTAGGTGATGGCCAGTGGAGTTCTGTTGGTTTCTCTTCTGGGCCTGTCTTGTAGCAGGAGGCTTCTGGGTATATGTCTGGCTCTGTTGATTTGTTTCTTTATTTCCTTGTGTGGGTATCGTAGTTTTGAGAATGCTTGGTGAAGATCTTGTAGGTGTTGGTCTCTGTCTGAGGGGTTGGAGCAGATGCGATTGTACCTCAGTGCTTGGCTGTAGATGATGGATCGTGTGGTGTGACCGGAGTGGAAGCTGGAGGCATGAAGGTAGGCATAGCGGTCGGTGGGTTTTCGGTATAGGGTGGTGTTAATGTGTCCATCGCTTATTTGTATGGTGGTGTCTAGGAAGTGGACCTCCCGTGTAGATTGGTCCAGGCTGAGGTTGATGGTGGGGTGGAAGCTGTTGAAATCATGGTGGAATTCTTCCAGGGTCTCTTTCCCATGGGTCCAGATGATGAAGATGTCATCAATATAGCGTAGGTAGAGAAGGGGCATGAGTGGACGAGAGCTGAGGAAGCGTTGTTCCAGGTCAGCCATAAAAATGTTGGCACATTGTGGGGCCATGCGGGTGCCCATAGCGGTGCCACTGGTCTGGAGGTATATGTTGTCACCAAATTTGAAATAATTGTGCGTGAGGATAAAGTCACAGAGCTCAGCAATAAGTTGTGCTGTGTCATCATCAGGGATACTGTTCCTGACAGCTTGTATTCCATCTGTATGTGGGATGTTTGTGTAGAGAGCCTCTACATCCATGGAGGCTTAAACAAAGACTGTGAATGGCTATCCAACTACAGAAGCAGTTTCTCCTCCCTTGGTGTTCACACCTCAACTGCTAGCAGAGCACCTCACCCTCCCTGATTGAACTAACCTCGTTATCTCCACACTGATTTATACCTGCCTCTGGAGATTTCCATTACTTGCATCTGAAGAAGTGAGGTTCTTACCCACAAAAGCTTATGCTCCCAATACTTCTGTTAGTCTCAAAGGTGCCACAGGACCCTCTGTTGCTTTTTATAGATTATTTGTAACTGAAATAGCATAGAATTCTAAGAGGAAAAGATGCTTTTAACCATTCAGCATTACATGATAATGACTCACAAATTTCAGGTTGTGTTCTAAAAGGAATAAGATCATATTTTTCTTTGTTGTAGCCCTCAAGTTTGGATGATAGACGAGGCAGTCGGCCACGGTCTATGGTTAGATCATTCACAATGCCTTCATCTTCAAGACCTTTATCTGTTGCATCAGTATCATCTGTCTCATCGGACAGTACCCCTTCCAGACCTGGCTCTGATGGGTAAGTAAGGTATAACAATTAAGAGCTTGTAATTGTGGAGAAAGATTCAGCATGCAAATCCTTACTGGGTTGTGAGAAGCCGTCAACACCTAAAAATCTCTTTAATGACAAATGTATAGTATAGTGCATGTGTTATCTTAATTCTTTGTTTTATAAAGTTATCAATATGAGCAACTAAAACTCAAGTACATTTCTTTTGAGCAAATTGTTTCTATACTGAAAGCATTTTCGGGTATGCATGTGGGGAGACATGGGTCTTACTAGAAATTTGGCATTTTAGAAAATTCTTTCAGCAGTGATACTTACATCTCTCTAAAATAGACTACTATTGAGAAGAAAGCATCGTTTTTTAACAAATACTATCATTTCTTAAAAGAACCTTGTTTTTCTCAATGCTGATTTCAAGATACACTATTTGATTTTTATTAGGGCTGTCAATTGATCGCAGTTAACTCACACAATTAACTCAAAAAATTAAATCGCAAATAAAAAAATTAAATCGCGTTTAATTGCAGTTTAAATTGCACTGTTAAACAATAGAATACCAATTGAAATTTATTAAACATTTTGGATTTTTTTCTACATTTTCAAATATATTGATTTCAATTACATCAATGTGTTCAGTTACAACACAGAACACAAAGTGTACACTGCTCACTTTATATTATTTTTATTACAAATGTTTGCATTATAAATATGATAAAAGAAATAGTATTTCTCAATTCACCTCATACAAGTACTATAGTGCAATCTCTTTATCATGAAAGCACAACTTAAAAATGTAGATTTTGTTTGTTACATAACTACGCTCAAAAACAAAACAATGTAAATCTTTAGAGCCTACAAGTCCACTGAGCCCTACTTCTTGTGCAGCCAATCGCTAAGAGAAACAAGTTTGTTTACATTTATGGGAGATAATGCTGCCTGCTTCTTATTTACGTCACCTGAAAGTGAGAACAGACGTTCACATGGCACTTTTGTAGCTGGCATTGCAAGGTATTTACGTGCCAGATGTGCTAAACATTCATATGCCCCTTCATACTTTGTAGATTGGGATAAGGCAGGGTTTAGCTGCCAAAAAGTGAAGCTTTGTGGTAGGATTGCTCTTCATCGGCAGAAAATGACTTAAAGGAAAACTATATATCCATACAAGGCTAGTGGGGAAACTGGCTGTGTGCTGCCATCGTAAAAGTGCCATTCTCTTTGTTTCTCGCTCCTCACGTTACTTTTTCCATTTCTGCATATTTAGCTCTTATCTCTCCCCGTTCAAGCCTTTTACATTTTTGCCTCTCTTTCAGCTTTTTCCATTTTGCACCTCTACTCCAGCTCTGCCATTGTACATACCATTTGGCAGGCTGTGTGTTTGTGGTGGGGGCGGGGTCCGCATGTTGCAGACAGTTTGTCTGGGATTACAGTTTTCCTTTATTCTCCTCCTCCAGTCCGCTTCCTTTTTAATCCTGCTTCATAGAGGTTGTGCAATTCAGAAGAAAGCTCTATAATGCAAGTCATCTTCCTTGTGCAAGCTCTTTACACATGGAACTATTACAAAGAATTACAGTTACAATTTTCTTTTATAGTCATGTAGGTTGGCCCTCCCCTTCCCTGAAGTCAGCTCTATGTGTGAATGCAATTGAGCCTGAACAGAAAAGTGAAATCAACCAGGCAGTTGTAATAAATATCATGATAACCTACTGGATACACTTCATCATCAGAAAAAAGAACTTAGTTTTGAAACTCACAATAGGGCCTGATCCAAGGCTCATTGAAATTAATGGGAGTTTCTCAATTTATTTTAATGGACATTGACTCAGGCTCATAGTGCCTTGGAAGGCTGAACATACCTATAGCTTAATATGCACAAAGACCTTTGTCTCACTTTTGCCAGGCTGTACATCCGTCATGTTCCGGGTTGCAATTCAGACCAGTGTGAGAGGTTGTGTCACCACTTGTCCTGAGTGCCTTAAATGCTCTGCGCTGTAGCTCCTTGTCTGGACACTCCCAATAAACATACAGAAATGCACGGAGTGTCTGTGTGCTGTGCAACCCTGGTTCAGCACTCTGACCCCAGCAGCCTGCCTACAACGCAACAGCCCCATCCTCATCTTGACCATCCTTGGTTACTAATTGCAGGGTGACCCCAACATGCCCCCAGTCCCTAATTTCCCCAAAACCATCTATCCTGAACTGTCCAGCCCTCTCCTGGAATAGTGAGACTTAATAATATCCGTTGCTCCTTTAAAGAGACAAAAGCACAGCAACTTGTTGCCTTAACTGAACTTAACTTTCACCTCAATACAAACACAACACTGGGTTGGTTTAGATTAAAAGTAAAACACGTTTATTAACCAAGTGAGGTTTTAAGTGAGTTCAAGTACAAGGGATAAAGACAAAATGGTTATAAACAAATAAAAGGAAAATATGCTGTCCAGTGGCTAAGACTTAACTAAATAAGCGACAGCCTTAGTACAAGGTAGATTTCTTACCAATCTTTCTTCTTTCCATGATGGACTTTTAGTTAGGACCTTGGGCTTGTGCATTTTAGGAACATAATTCTAGCACATACCCATAACTTTTTGTACACACCCTGTACATATGTCATGCAAGACTATTAATGATCAGTGAGTTGTTAGTTTTCCAGTGATATCTTACATGATGCCTTTTAGATACAGATTATGACAAGAGAGTGTTAGGTGTAATGAGTAGGTCAGGCCTGATGAGAGTTGTTGACACAGAATAGAGAACCACAAATGGGCCTTTGTGTCACAACCTCGCAGTGCCCTATCATTTAATCCAAATATTTGTAAGGGTGGTGTGGTGGGTGAAGTTATGTGAACACCTCTCAGAGTTTAACTCCACACTCCTTAAGGATTTCTGTCTGCATTTTGGTGCCATTTCCTTACCACATTCAGCTGCTTAATGCTCATGTGGGTAAATTGGGAGGTCTAGAAAGGTGCTTAATTTGTTTAGTTACACAGTTAATGCAGGTTTTTTACTTGTAATAAAAGGGAAATAGGTTTTTGGGGAAGTTGCTCATTACACTCCTAAAAGGCTATTCAGTATAGGTACCCTGCTGACTTTGAGTAAACCTAGAGTGAGCTGTTACACTCCTCCAATGTGGTTTTACTGGGTCTGCAATCTCATGAAAAATTACTTGAGGTTAAGTAGTAAAACTCACATAATTTCTCCAGAGACTGGGGAATATTCTGTCACCACCTGCACCAATGCAATTTAATCAGAGTCATAAAGGTGGCACAGATGTTAAAGGTTGTGCCTAATTCCCATTAAAATCAATTGAAAGATTCCTATGGACTTCAATGGGAGTTGGATTTTTACTTGTGTGAGAGGTGCAGCTAGGCCCATTAATCCACCAATGAACTGAGCCCCAGAAGTTTGGCCTTTCAGGAGACATGCTACTGCAAACAGTTCTACCCATGTCTTGGAGATCAAAATGTTTGAAGATTCTTTGACTTAGGAAAAAATGGGTCTTTTCAGAAGTCACTATTTTAGAAAAATGCTTTTAATTGGAACAGTATTTTGGACATTTAATACAGCACCGATCGGAAACAAAATCAATATATAGTTATAAAAACATGCTTGAAAGGACACTTTTCTCTCAAACAGTGGTGACACCTAAAATTGCCTGATGTCTAAGAAGGTGAAAGTGTATGGTTTCCTGTAAGGTCCACACCAGACTTTGTTATTTTGGGCTCTTAAATTGTTTATAGGTATCAATATTGATACATGTAAATGTTGGTACTCACCAGTAATTATACACGTGTGTATTTATCAGTTGAATGTGAATAGGAAGTACCAGGTAATGGTAGGAAGCATGGATATTGGGAGAGGAGCATATTAAGGACCAGGGCCACGGGCACGTGGAACTGGGCTGGGGGGCAGGGAGTAAGTATGGTGACAGTCTGGTCTGTTCGTGGACGGCATTGAGTGGAACAGAGCTCTGCAGAGGGATGTCGGAGTGGATGATACCTCTGTGTGGGGGCCATTAAGTGAAATCGAGTGGGGTACATGAAAAATAACAGGGCTTTTCATTGAGAGTTGGAGGAGGCATATCATATCCATGCTTATTAAAGCCCTTGAAAATTTGACTAAACAAAAAACTTTAACTTAGAGGTAAGGTTGTTGAAGTGCAAATCCCATCAGTTCATTCTCTTAAAAAAAAAAAAAAAAATCACCAGTTAAGCTAACATTCATATTCACACCAAACTCAATCATACCCAAACAAGATAACACCGAAACGCACCCAGACTCCATAACTACAATACCAAACTTACTTATAATTCTAATGTACAACCAGGCACAATACAATCATCATCTAAGTTCTCAAAACGATACTCAAATGCAAAACCTTATCTCTGACTGCATGCTGACATTATATAGACTTAAAATTGTATGTATGTCTATCAATAATTATCTGAATCTGACTGAGGTTGGAGCAAAGTTTTCCATTTGAGTGATTTCAGGGAATTGGATATGTTTTTGTCAGTAGTTAAGGAATTATATATTAATTTGATACATCAGGCTTGATAGCATCCTGAAAGAAAAATAAGAAAGACGTTCAGAATTGTACTTTAAGACACTAGAAGTAAAAAAATGTTATTAAATATTTAATGTTTCCCATTGGAAAGTGAGAATCCCAAAGAATGCTTTAATGTACAAACAATAACCAGTGCTTGTTTTGCAGAAGTATTTTTCTTTAAGAATCATCTACACTATAAACTGTTCTGCATTTTAATCATAAATAGAGTTACAGAGAAATAGGTTACATTAGAGCATACAAAGTTGGATTAATATTAGTGGAGAAAGTTTTTGACTAAACAAATTAGATGATGAAAGACCTAAAGAAATCAGTAGAGCTGACCAGAACATGGAAATCCCTTCCCATGGAAAATTTCATGTTTTTGAAAAAAAAAAAATTGTCCTGAATTGGGATGTTAGGTCAAAAGCATTAAATTTCTCACGGAAAGGGATTTCCAGAGAAATTC